CCCCCCCCCAGTCCACTGGACATCCCCGTTAAGCATCGCTCTAACCCCGGGCCTCGGTACGGCCCCCACAGAGCATCCCCCCCAGACGCTGCCTGCTTGTCACCCTGTGAGGCCGGCTGCCTCCTTCCACGTGTGAGCAACCTCACTTAGCGTGTGGCACGTCACCCATCGCTCAGGATTCACGCTGTCACACCGTGTCCAGACCACACACGTCACCTGTCGCTCAGAGCACATGTCCACTGTCACGCCGTGTCCCCAAACACGTGTCACCCATCAGAGCACATGTCTGCTGTCACGCCATGTCTCCACACGTGTCACCTGTCACTCAGCACACACAATGTCACACTGTGTCCTCCTACAACTAGTCCTTTTTACCAACGTCCCATGTTGTGATCCTCTCGTGCAGATAGATGCTGGGGCCTCGTCCTGTCCGCCCGTGTCTCAGGGGCACCGAGGGGTGCCCTGCTCCCACGGGCGGACAGTGACAACGTGGCTGACTTTCCTTCCTTTGTAAAATTCCACAGTTTCAGGTGCACACAGCACAACTGACCTCCGCAGTCAGCGCTCAGAGCCCTCACTCGCGTGCTCGCAGGGACATGCCAGCCACCCCGCCGACTCTCGGCCCCACTTCTCCGTGAGCGGGATCGTGGGGCTCCCAGCCGGCGGCCTGGCTCCTGTCTCCGCCTCTGAGAGCCGCGCGTGTGCCCACGGCCTGTCCCCGCCTTTGCCCTCGACCCCACGCCCTCCACCCGGCACAGCTGGACGCTACCTTGACCGAGGGCGGCCGGGGGGCCGGGGGACCCGGGGCTGGGCCGGGCCCCAGGAACCAAGGCCTGTCAGGGGATGATGTCCTGATGTGGGTGTCGTCGCCAGGGAACCGGGGGCCCGCTCAGCCTTTCCTGGGGTGCCCGAGAGCGGGCTGGCAGGGCAGGTGGGCACCACCGGAGGGGCCCCCGGGGCGGAGCCGTCCCTGCCGCCCGTTCCTCCACCACCTCCGGCGGCAAGCGGCCCGGGAGGACGGCGCAGCCCGCGAGGGCACCGACGCCTACCACGAATCCGTCCCCTCCTGAGCAACCCGGCCTCGAGGCTCAGACGCGTGTGGCTAAGCCGACGGAGCCCGCTCTATTTCCCACCAGAGGCAGAGTTTACAAGCTGTCCCGGGAGCTACTCTCTGCCCCCCCCCACCGGCCCCCAAGCATGAGCCGCGACCCCGCAAGGACTCGGACGTCCAGGTGGCAGCCGTGTGGACAGCCAGAGCCCAAACAAGCTGACTTGAACTTGCCCATCTGGCTGCACAGACCGCCTCCTGGGGGGGGGGGGGGGGGGGGGCGCAGGGGTGGCATCTGCTCTGGGAAAAGGATAGGCTAGAATAACAGTGCCTCGGGGAGGAGGCCACTGACCCAACCTGGGTCTCGAGCAGGGGGACCCCTGGGGGCGTGGCCAGGTCTGCACCTTCCGGTCACCAGGTGGCGACGGAGATCCCTCCTCCCTCGGGGGGGGGGGGGGGGGGGGGGGGGGCACAGGTCTCCCCCGGGGTCCATTCTGCCCCCTTGCTGTTCAGACAGGCCTTAGCTGGAGCCCCTCCTACCCCTGGAGGCCGCGGCGAAGGAGGGGCTCCCGGAGAACACAGGCCGCTGAGACCCGGGAGAACCTGCCGACACGCCCAGGCTTGTGGTCACCAGCAGGGGCTGCGCACACCTCTGCCTGTCCCCTGTCCTCGCCTTGTCCCCAGGCCGGGACCTTGGGCAAGCAGAGAAGCTGCGGGGGAGGGCAGGAGGGGCCGCGGCCTGGGGGGCAGACCCTTGACCGTGCAGCCGTGGGCAGCTCCAGGCCTCTGTTCCCACGTCTGTGCGACGGGGTTCGCACGTCCTGCCTGAAGGGTCATCCGAGGGCCACACTGAACGGAGGACCAGGTGCAGGGCCGGGGTTCGAGTCGGTCCCACCCACCGCTGACTAAGCCCCTCCTATCACCCCAGCCTCGCGGAGGCCCCAGGA